GAGAGAGAGAGAGAGAGAGAGAGGGAAAGATATGGAGGGAGGGAGGAAGCGACACCTGCCCTTTGTCCCCAGCACAGGCATGGCTGCTGGTTCCGAGAAGCACCTGCAGCAGTAGCGGCTCCAAAGCACTGGCTGCTGGCTAAGCTGACCGGTGTGTCTGTTGCTCGTCCACCCGCTAGTCCACAGAGCTGAGAATGTCTGCCGTCATTGCTGTCCTAAGGACCAGCCCTAACTAAGCACTCGAGAGAATGAAGCAGAGGATCTGCAAGCAGCACCATGCAAAGTCTAGGTGACAACCAACTCTGTGAGTCTGACGGGCTGGTGAGAATTTCCATGACTTGTGATGACACCTGAGGAGGACAAGTACAGTTAAGCAGAACAAGAAACATCTTTGCAGTCACAAAGGGATCCACACCTGGCGACCCATGGTCTCCACTGCCACCCCACATCCAGGTGAGGGACACCCAGGGTGGCTGGAGACAGGTGAGGTCACCGATTCTCTCCCCTCAAGTCTGACACCACTCACCTGCACTAACTCAGGAAACCCAGACCGCCAACAGGGACAGACATGCTTCTTCTTTTGATGTGGTTTAGATAAAAGGTGCAAATGGCCACAGCTTTGCCACCCAGCTCCCCATGTTTTTGTTACTGACAAAGGCAACAAACCATGGATTTCTCTCCCCTGAGGAAAAGGAACCCAGCTCCTCACTGCTGAGGAGACCCAGGAGGCCAGCAGCCACACAGAGAAGCGGTGGGTAACGTGGTCTCCGCAGGGATGAAGAGGACAGCAGGGTCAGGGGCCCCCCAAAAAAGCAGGAAGCAAAATAATAGTACTCTGAAAAGGAAGATCAAAGAGAAATCCCCTGCTCCTGGACAGGTAGACCTAATATTGTTGAGATGGCCACATTACCAAAAATGATAGATATAGTACAACAATCGAAATCAAAATAACAGCAGCATTCTTCACAGCACTAGAAAAAAAATATTGTAAGATTAATGTGGCTCCAGAAGAGGCCCAGAATAACAGAAGCAGTCCTGGGGAACAAGAGCAAAACAGGAAACATCACCATCCTGGATCTCAAACTTATTACAAAACTACAGTGATAAAGCCAGGTGTGGTGGTGCATGCCTGTGATCCTAGCACTGGGGAGGCTGAGGCAAGAGGATCACCATGAGTTCAAGGCCAACCTGGAATACATAGGAGACCCTGTCTCAAAAAATAAAACAAAACCAAAGTTTAGCCTGGAGTCTAAGTGCACATTACAGACCCTTAATGAATGTTACATATTAGCATCAGCAAGGCAATTTCAGGAAGATCAGAGCAGAGCCCGCTGCCCTGAGACGAAGTCCCGTGATCTCCCGGTTTATGTCAACCTCGTGCCCCAAACCGCATGTGGGGAGTGGAGCAGAATGAAGCGTGGGAAACGCTCAGCCGGTCTCTGACACAGGGGCGAAAGCATGCCTGGAGGAGCGGGCCGCTCAGCACATGGTGCTTGGACACAGGCCATCCACACACAGAACAGTGAATCCCAATGCACACCACGCACTAAACTAAAATCGAAACGGATCAGAGACCTGGATGTCAAGACAGAAACCCTCGCTGGGATGTGAAAGAAGTAAACCTTGCAGACACAAGCACAGGCAAGGACTTTCTGAACCTCAGCTGCAAAAGAAATAACACAAAGAACAAACAAGACCATAGCAAATGAAAAAGCTTCTGCACAGCAAAGGAAACAACCAACAGTGAAGAGACACCTGCAAAATGGGAAAAATTTTGCTAGCTACTCACACAGGAGTAATGTTTAGAATCTGTCAACTCAAAAAATTAGGCTCCTGGGGGCTGGGGATTTAGCTCAGTGGCATCGTGCCTGCCTCACAAGCTCAAAGTCCTGAGTTCAATCCCCGGTACCACCAAAAAAAAAAAAAAAAAAAATTAGGCTCCTAAAAATAAGAGATCCAATACAAAACAGGCAATTGAAATAGATACTTCTTAGAAAAAAAATACAAACGCTAAGTACATAAAAAATGTTCACCATTTTTAGATAAATGTAAATTAACTTTTTTTTTGAGACAGGGTGCTATATACCCCAGGCTGGCCTTGAACTTGTGGTGATCCTCCTGCCTCAGCCTCCTGAGTGGGACTACAGGAGTGTGCCACCACACCCAGTCAGGAAAATGTGAATTAAAACAATGCTAAGGATCTTTATACTTCCTCAGTGGAAACAAGCCTGGCACCTCCAGCTCTACTGGGCCCAAGAGCCATCACTGTGAGCCAGGCTGGCTGTCCCTGGCTCCCTCCCCACTCAGAGCCCCTGCTGGCTGGGGGCGGTGGGCAGAGGACAGCCTCCTCCCTGTCCTCCTGCACACCACCCCAGCTGAGCAGAGGCCCAGCACACCCCCTGGAACAGGTGCTGCTGCACAGGGCTCTGTAGCTGCCCAGCTGGCATCGCAGAGGGGCTGACCAGGCAGGTCCCCCTCACCTGTGCATCATCTCCCCGCCTGGGGCCTGGGGAAGCTGCTTGCCTCAAGGACAGCTGGCTTGCCTGGCATGGTGGTTCACGGCTGTAATTCCAATACACAGGAGGCTGAGGCAGGAGGATCACTGCAAGTTTGAGGCCAGCCTGGGCTACATAGGAGTCCCTGTCTCAAAAATAAATAAATAAATAAAAAGAACAACCGGCTCACTAAGGCTTGGGGTCACATTCCTTAGTCTTTTGTTTGATTTGGTCTATTTTTTGAGATGAGATCTTATGGTGTCGTCCACACTGGCTTCAAACTTGCAGAGATCCTTCTGCCTCAGCCTCCAGAGGGCTGGGATTGCAGGGGTGCATCACTGAGCCCAGCAAATCTGTCTCTGACTGCCCCCATTTCCCTTTTACTTTCCAGCTGGGCATAGTCTCTCATAAACGCTCCAGTATTTCCCTCCAGCATCATGCTCCCTGTGACCCAGGACTGAGACAAGGAAAAGGCATTTTTCTAGAGACAATCTTTTTATTTTGTGGTGCTGGGGATTGAACCTAGGGCCTGGAGCACAGCAGGCAACTGCTCTATCACCTCACACCCCTACAGAGAAAAGGGTTTAATGCTCAGAAATCCTGGTTTTCTGGTCAGCTCAGCGCGGCCCCAGCGAAGGCGCCACGTAGTTGCCTCCAGGGCCTTGAGGGGAAGGAGGCTGCAGGGACAAACCCTCCGGCAGGGCACCCCCGGCTGCCTTTCTGGCTGCGGGCTGACCGTCGGCCCCGAGCCCCAGCAGCCCGTAGGCAGTGTTGAAGAGGTTGATGGGAGTGGAGCCATCGGTGATCAGGGTGGACTTCAGGCCCAGGGACTGCAGCAGTTTCACCTGGAGGGCGTGGGAGACACCAGTCACTTCTCTCAAGCTCTGGCTGCCTCCAGCGTCACCTCCTGGAGCCGACCGGCCTGGGGAGCCCTTCCCTGTCATCTGCTGCCCTGCTTGACCTGCTGCAGAGCCTGTGCAGCAGACCAAGATCCCCCCCATCCGCCGGCTCCTTGACGTCTAGGGCAGTGCCCGACCCTGACACGGCCTGCTCACTGACGGGGACACAGGGACCATCCACGCACCCTGCCCTCTGCCGTCCCAGACGCCGCATCTCTCTGCTGCTCCCCAGCCTCACCTGCATCTCTGGCCCGGCCACGGCCAGGTCCCTGATGGTGCTGGGGCCGAGGGCCTCCGTCATCTGCTTGAACTTTTTCACCTCCACCTCCGCCAGCTGCTGGGCTTTGCTCACTTCCAGTTCCAGCTGAGCCCGGGCAAAGATCAGTTCCTGCTCTCGGACTTTCTGTACCCGCTGGAGCTCAGCCTCCTAGAGGGGAGAAGGCCGGCCGCCTTAGAGTCCATGGCCCTGGGAACTGCCTGCAGCCTGGCATCTCGGGTCCACCACCATTCAGCTGCTGGGCTCGGACTCCTTCACCCGAGCCCAGGCCCTCAGCACTAGGGGACAAAACCCAGCTCAGTGGGAAGGCTTTTTGCCTTGCCCTTTTGTGGTGCCGATATGGAAGCCAGGGCCTCATGGACGCTGGGCAAGCTCTGTACCTCCAAGCTGCACCCCAGGCCTCAGGAGGATCTCATGCATGAAATAAGGCAGTGCACATAAACCACAGGCACAAGGTGGCACACAGGTGGCCAGTGCTGGAGCACCCTCTGTAGAAGGCTGCGAGGACACCTGGCTCTCAGGAAGGTGAACGTACTGCTGCAGAGGACAGGACTGGCTCAGACTCAGTGCCTGTTGGGGACTGCTGTGAGGGCACGCAGACCCTCCCTGCCTTTGGGGACTGCAGTAACCTGGCCCAGGCCTCAGCCCCCCCAGAGCGTGGCCACTCACCATCTCAATGGCCAGCGCCTGAGCCTTCAGCTTGGCCTGCAGCACGGAGCCTTCTCCCTCAATCCTTGCAGCCTCTGCCCGCGACTCAGCCTCGGCCTTGGCGGTCCCAGTGCTCTCCACAGCCATGCTGGGGGAGGCAGAGCCAGGTGAGACCCAGGAGAAAGACCGGCCCACTCGGGCCGCCTCTGCTTCCCAGCATGTGAGCGCTCGCCTGCCGCCCGCAGCTCCCACAGCCCTGGGCTCCAGGAGCTCCTTGAGCCCTCCCTCCCACGCTTCCTCTCTAGCTCTCCACATACCTCATGGCCTCGAGCTCCAAGAGCTGCTTGCGAGCCTTCTCAGCTTCCGACTGGTCTAGGATCTTCTGCCTGTCCAGCCGTCCCCGGGCCTCTTGCTCCAGTCTCTGAGCCTCGTGCCTGGAGAGCAGGGACAGGGAGAAGGCTGTGTGGGCCTGAGCCAGGGGAGGTTCTCGCACACAGTGGGCTCAGCGTGACTCAGGCCCGCTGCAGTCCCGGGCGGCCCCAGGCCTGAGTGGGCAGCTGAGCTGAGGCTCTACTTCTACCCAAGGCCCTCCAGTGATCACAAGCAAGAACAAGCTCACACAGCCACGAGCTCTGTGCAGGTGGTGACCCAGTTAAGAGGAAAGAACAAGCAGGGTTCTCCAAGGAGGAGCCTGCCTTGGAAGGGCCCAGGGACAGCGCTTTCTGGGCAGCAGAGCGGCTGGTGTGAAAGGCTAAAGGTGGGACCTTGTGCATCTGAGAAGGGTGTGGCAGTTCCCTAGGGAAGCAGGGTGCAAAGTGGGGTGCGGGGAGCTGGGCTGAACCCCAGAGAGCCTGGAAGGCCACAGAAGACCTCAGGGCTTCCCACAAGCAAGTGGGGAAGTAGTGGGACCAGGGCGGCATCAGAGTCAGTCTAAGGCCACACTGTCTGCTGGGCAGAAAGCAGCTCCCTGGGGCAAGGACGGCAGCAGCTGACCATCTGCCTGCCATGCTGTCCAAATGTGCCCGCATCTTCCCTGGACCAGCGGCGGCGAACCTATGGCACGCGTGCCAGAGGGCTGCTTGCTACCACTGCAGGCTCTAAAAGGTTCGCCATCACAGGGCCAGCCCTTCAGCTTGGGTTCCCGCAGTGGGGGAGTGGCCCAGCAGCACTCACTTGGCTGCCGCCTCCTGGGAGTTGGTGGTGATCTCAATGGCCAGCTGGACGCTTCGCTGCAGGGCATCCCGGGTCCGCTGGTCCACAGGCTCCACCGACTGCACGTCCACGCTGCTTACCACCAGCCCATTTTGGGGGAAGAAGGCCTGGTCCCTGGGCCTGGGCAGGGCCACACCACCGGGGCCCTTGGTTTCGGAGGTCTCAAAGCCAAAGACGGCCGTGCGGATGACGCGGGCTGAGTTCTTGTGGAAGTCGTCAAAGGAGACAGAAGCCACAGCCCCCCGCACCCGGGACGCGATGGCTTTGCAGGCGTCACCCACGAAGTCAGGCACCGAGAAGAGCTTGGCCGCCTCCTGAGGGTCGTTTGGGTCACTCAGCTCGAAGTGCCTGTGAGCAGAGGCCCAGAGCAGGGCGGCCACATGACTCCGTGAAAGAACAGCTCTCTCTGAGGAAGACCTGACACTACTCTCCGTGCCTGGACAGCAGCTCACAGCTGGCACCAGTTCATGCCCACCCTCACACGTTCCCACTTCCCTCAAAGCCACACCTGGAGGCAGGGACAAACATTCCTCCCATTCCACAGCACAGGAAACGGGTCCAGAAGGCTAAATGACTGCCCCAAGGTCCCCCAATATATGGAAGCAAAAGCCGAAGCCAGGCAATCTGGCCCTAGGGTCTGTGCTGTCAAGTACGACACCACTGGGTCGCCAAATATGCCAGCCCCTGGCCCCTCTTCAGCCACTGGTGACTCTTGGCCCGGAGGGGCAGACCACACTCAGGAGTTGGTGGACATTTCTCTCTCTCTTTTTCTCTCTTTCTTCCCTGCTCCCCCCCCCCGCCCCATTCTCTTCTTTTCCTTTCCTTTTTCTTTTTTTCCTGGTACTGGAGATTGAACCCAGGGCCTTCTGGGTTCACTAAGCTATATCCCCTAAGTCTCTAAATTGAACTTGAGATCCTCCTGCTTCAGTCTCCCAGAATGCCGGGAATACAAATATGTGCCACGAATGTCCTTTTTTTTTTCTTTTAGGTTTTGAAACAGGGTCTCACTAAATTGCTTGGAGGTAGACTCAAACCTGCAATCCTCCTGCCTCAGCTTCCTGAAAAGCTGGGACTACAGGCATGCACCACCACACTGCACATGAACCACTGATCTTTCAACAATATTTCAGAGATGGATTTGGCTGGACACAAGCTGGGAGTTTGGCTGGGGCAGTGTCCTGCCACTGGGTCCCTGAAGTCCTAGTGCCAGGAGGGAGCCAGCGTCTTCCTTCGATTTCATAAACTCCTAGCCTTTTCCTTTTTCAGTGCTGAGCATGGACCCCCAGGGGCCCCAGTCCTACCGCCGCGGTTCCCTCAGCCAGGGCTCGCACCCCAGGCTCTGCCCTCACCGGGCGCACCTCCTCCTGGCCTATCCTAGGCCCTGTGCTCGCAGGAGCCCATCC